CATACATATAGAGAAGTTAACTGAGAAACTGCCTTGGGTATTGTAACCAATTTGTAGTTTATCGATCTTATCAGGTCTCCCGAGACGGTATTAATTATCCAGTTATTATTCACTTCTCGAAATAATTAAAATTGATTTCGTTCTTTAAACTTTAAAACGTTTGTTGCGGGAAAAATATTTTTTTTTAATTATCAGGGATGCCGGAAATGGTTTGTCAGTAAAAAAGTCGTTAAAAGGCTCCACGTCCTGAAGATTTGTTTGTCGTTAAAAGGCTCCGCGTCCTGAAGATTTGTTTGTCGTTAAAAGGCTCCACGTCCTAAAGATTTGTTTGTTGAATTTCGCATTAATTTTGTAGTGGTAGACTAAGGGAAAGGTAGCTAGTCAACATCACCCACCGCCAACTCTTGGGCTACTTTTTACCAACGAATACCATCACATTATAAAGGCTCGATGGCTGAAAGGGCGAGCATGTTCGGTGACGTGATTGGAACTCGTGGCCTGCAGACCGTGAGTCTCGTGCCATAAACCACCAGGCCATGTCATGTCCTGTATATCCGCATTTTGTTTAAGGACTTGCAGTGCTAAATTCCTGAGCTCGATTCTCAGCGGAGGACAGAGCGTAGATAGCACACTGTGCAGCTTTGCGCTATAAACAATAAAAACATTACAAAGAATCACGAATAATTTACCTATGTTTTTAAAACATTTTTTGAAGGTTTTTTTTATATATCTAAATATTATATTATATATTTATATTTCTATATTATAAACTAAATTTGGAAATACATTCAAATAAAGAATTTATTTTTTAAGCTGCTAAATATTTATAAGAATAACGAAGGATGGGATAGTCTTGCTTGTATGAAGTTCAGACTTGTAGATCTTTAATTTGAAGTCAGTGAGTAAATATAATTAGATGTTTGAACGACATTTTAATAAGCTTAATGGTAACCATATATAATAAATAAATCAAATGTTATATTTAAACTTTTTATTAAAATTCTGCAGTCCATATTGGTGTGTAAAAAAAAAAAAGGATTAAAATATACTAAAGTTTTATATTATGTATGGCTCGGACGTGGCCTAGTGGTTAGGGTGCCCAGAATTTGAATATGAGGGTTCAGAGTTTGCGTCCCCCGGTTGTAAAAACCGTGCTTCACACTTTGAGGCCATGAGTGCGGTTTAAGAATTACGATTAGGTCCCATTATTAGGCAAACAAAAGTAGCCCAAAAATGGTAATGGTTGATGTTGATATGCTCCCTTTCCTCAGTTTGAAATTAGGGACGGCTGTGCGCAAACAGCTTTATGTAGCTTTGCGGAAAATTTTCAATTTTTACGCATACACGTAGATCTAAATGTATGTGTATGTTTGAGTGTATAGAGACAGCGAGGCTTTCACATTCGAAAACTTTGTAACATTAATAAATAAAAAAGTCATTATAAGTAGCACACTTTTTTTTTCATATAAATTTTAGATTTATTGAGATTCACTCCGGAAGGTAAAGTGTAATTAACAGAGAAGTTACGACGTTTACCCCAAGTGAGCAAACATTGTGTTACAGTGATAAATTATCGTGTTCTTTATTAAGCTTTGTCACTCTGTCTAGTCAACTGTAGGCCTATTTCCCAGAACTCAGAGAACCAATTTATACACATGGACAATATAAATGGCTACGTCACGGATCATTGGTTCCCTGTATGGGCGGGATCTGTTATAGAGAATGGTCCTCACACGGAGAAACTGTGGTTACTTAAAATATTCATTATATTAATTGAAAGAATGTGTAAAAACATCGTAGTAGTCGAACTTCATTCATTACAAAAGTACAAAAAAAAACGATCTTGCAAAAATCACCCGGTGAAAATCAATTTTAATGTCACGTAACTCTGAAGATTTCATCTAAGTTTAATTCACGGAATCTGAGGAAATTTTCTAGTTAAAATTATTTTTATTCATTCGTATTTAAATCACTTCTCAACTTATATTTCATGACGGTTAAGTTGACTAGAATAACGTTTCGTTAACTGAATTCTTCAGGATTAATCTGAGAATAACGTTTCGTTAATTGAATTCTTCAGGATTAATCTGAGAATAACGTTTCGTTAACCGAATTCTTCAGGATTAATCTGAGAATAACGTTTCGTTAATTGAATTATTCAGGATTAATCTTCGAATAACGTTTCGTTAACTGAATTCTTCAGGATTAATCTTCGAATAACGTTTCGTTAACTGAATTCTTCAGGATGAATCTGCGAGTAACGTTTCGTTAACTGAATTCTTCAGGATTAAGCTGAGAATAACGTTTCGTTAACTGAATTCTTCATGATGAATCTAAAATATTGGTTGTTTTGTAAATTATGTGAATTAAAATCGAATAAATAACAACCTGGATCACCTTTTAAGATCTCAGTGGGAGAAGGACGTTTATTGGTAATCCAGGGGCTGGCTGGCTGGACTCTCTTGGGTTTTTCAAAGGTTAAAATATGAAATTATCGTGAGAGTATCTGCTCTGACTGTATCTTATATTAAACACGGGTGGGTGCCATTCCCATTTCCCCAATGTAAGTCGACCAAACATTTAACCTAATTATCAGTAAATAACTAACCAGTTTTCAGGTTTATCAATATTTCTTAAAATGAGATCAATTCTGTCTGATAACGACTTTTTTCCTGCAAGATTCATGAAGTTGTATTTCTTATAAATACATATGTGTTTGTGTGTGTGGTTGTTGTAATCAGATTATGTGTGTGTGTGTGTTGTAATCAGATTAGCGCCCGAAGCTTGATGATTTGAGCAAAGTAATACAGGTTTGGAAAAAATTTGGGAGTTACCCAAGATATCTTAATCTTCACCTCCCTTCTTAGCCTGTTATATCACAATATATATTAAAGTGGCATAAAGCAGTGTATAAAAGGGAAAAAAATACAATTCTGGTAAAATAAAGAGGCCTTATTTTAAATACTTGTTCCTGGCATACAATATGTTATATAGATGCCTAACAATGCACCTACAAAATGGAGCCATCAAAGAACACTGTGCCCACGTCCACAACCAAAAACTCACACGTCAGGACCTAGTACAAAACACCAAAGTAAACCGCCGATTTAATGACTTCACAACTCTTCAAATACACGAAGCAATAAAAATCCTACAGCAAACTCCCATAATCAACAAACAATCGACAGGAACAGCACGCACACTGCTACTTCTTGGCGAGAAACCCCCAAGCCACAATACAACACTCCCCCAATTAACGTCTTCCACGAGCTAGATACCACCACCTGCTTACCCATACCTATATATATATATATATATATATA